TCTACATCTATCTATCTATCTATCTATCTATCTATCTATCTATCTATCTATCTATCTATCTATCTATCTATCATAAAAGTTAAAATGTGTTTGTATGTTTTTATCTGTGTTTTATGTATGTACTATGCATCTATTTATGTTTGTATTAACCATGATGATCAACAGAAAATATTGGAGAGATTTGGGAAAAACTGACTCTGGATGTTGGGAACTGTAGTTCATACACAATCAAAGAGCTTTCTGAACCCACTGACAATGGATCTGGACCAAACTTGGCACACATACAGCTATGACCAAATTTAAATACTGGCAGGGTTGCAGGAAATTGACCCAGGATGTTGGGAGTTGTAGTTCACCCACAATCAAGAGCACTCTGAACTCAACTGAGAATGGATTTTGACCAGACTTGGCACACATTTTAATGCTTTAAATACTGGTAGGGTTTCGGGTGAAAGGAATGGATCTGAAATGATGGGAGATGTAGTTCAACCATATCCAGAGAGCACTGTGAACTACACCAGTGGGAGATCTGGACCTAACTTGACACACATACCCATCATGATCTATTGGTGCAGTTTGGAGAAATGACAGATAGTGATGCGAGTTATATAGTTTACCCACATCCTTATGCATTCTCTACTGTGACCATTCATAAAATCCAAAACCAAATGATGACTAATTCTAACATTAATCATTACAAAAGACCTAACCTGAGCATTGCCAGGTGCCTAAGCAAGCTACCTATTAAATGTCTGAAAACATGAAATCTTTTATCTGTAAAGCAAATTAGAAAGAACTGCTTCTGAGTAGGAGAGTGGCAGAATGTATATGTGGTCAGTTTGTCCATGACCTAAATATTTGCATAATGAGCAAATAATTTGCATACTATGCAAATCCAGCTGCCTGGATGTGGAGACCTAGACTGTGAGAACCCCTGAGAGACAAAGACTAGCATGGCAGGAAAGACTGAATAAACACCTAGTGGATACCTTCAAAAGTTGTTGGATAAAAGGAATAACAATTAGACTGTTGGCAACATGAGCACCTGGCTGGAGGAGAAAGCAGCTTGAAAAAGTGTAAGAAAGAGTGTAAGAAAGAACAAAAACGATTGGTCTAATGGACTAAAAGTAGATAACGTTGTCTGGACCAAATTAGAAGGAAATCAACTCATTAAGAATTCTTCATCTGAAGGGAAAATGTTGGTTGATTGTTGAAACTAGGCTTCATGGTTATAAACCTATCATGGATGTTTACACAGTAATTAAATCCTACTGAGTCAAGTAGAATGTACAAGAGCAAAGTTATTGATTACATTTAAATGATGATACCGCTTCTCCAGTAAGTTCAAGGCAATACATGGCTCTACTTCCACAGTTACATTTTATCCTTTTAACCAGTCTGTGCAAATGGTGAGGCTGAAGGAACATTCCAAGGTTACTCAGTGAGTGTTATGATTGAGGGAGAACTTGAATCTACATCTGCAAAGTCCCACTCCACGTATGTGTGAGATGCCATTGCCCAAGCCTCAAGTCCCATTCATCTAGTTTTTAGGGACATTTCAACTCAAGATCTCCTGATGCTTCAGGATCAGAGGCGGCCCTAGGTTATTTTAAATGGTAAGCAAACAGTATTGCCCCCCCCCCAATCATTGATATATATTTTCTGTTTTCGTGGGAGTTCTGTGTGCCATATTTGGTTCAATTCCATCATTGGTGGAGTTCAGAATGCTCTTTGAGTAGGTGAACTATACATCCCAGTAACTACAACTCACATATGTCAAGGTCTATTTTCCCCCAAGAGGCCTCAAGAGCGCCCCTGGACAAAATCAACTATACTGCAAATGCTTACTTTGCGTAATGGGTTGCGCCACCCCTGTTCAGGATGCACTGTTGTCAAGTCCCGAGGCCTGTGAAGGAGGGAAGAGCATGAACTATTAGTCCTGGCCCCCACAAAGTAAAGATCCCCTTCTTGAGCTTCCCCTTTCATATTTTATTCCCTTTCCAGAGCCTTGGTTCCAAGTACGAGGCAGCATCAGGTCCCTTCCCTGCTAAATTACATCTGCCAAAAACTCAGATTAGGAGGTGTACAGGGTTCAAACTACACTGCATGGTGCCCTGGGAGTGACACCAAATCACATAACATTTGTGTGTGATATTTCAGTAGAAATTTATTTGTTTATATAAAAATATGCTGGCAGTTAAATTTAAGCACAAAAAACAGGTTTCATAAGTCCACCTTACCTGTACTGCATACTATATAAGTATATGTGAATACTTCATGCTAATTAACTTTTTGAACTCTTTAATCTAATGGGCACGTGCTCCAGACAGACTTGTTATTATCATCCTGTGACAACAAAACTTCAAATCATATGGTTTCATCTGCAAGCACCACAGGCATATTGTTGTTTTTGTTGCTGCTGTTTATTTTTTTTTACATATAATAATAATTACTTTATTCTGATATCCCACCACCAAACATTAAAATGAAGCACAATACAAAATACAATAAAATAAAACACATGCGCATATAAAAACATCAACTCACTGATTTTGCTAAATGTCCTGATACTTTAGCTACAATATTCTGGTTTGGTACAGTACCCCAAAGACACAAGATCCCATGCAAACTTGGAAGCTAAGTAGAGCCAGCCTAGTTAGTACTTGAATGGGAGACAACGAATGAAGGCCAGTTGCTGTATTTCAGACCACCTCTTAGTATCTGTTGACTATGACAACCTCATGAAATTCATGTGATCACCATAACTCAACAGATGACTTGCGACCTAATCACACTAGAGAATGAATCCACTTTAAATCCGGATATTGCCTCCTGAGAATTCTGGGGTTTGTAGTTTAGGGGGGAGCCTTTACCAGCCTCACTAAACTACAAACTTCAGAATTCTGCAGGAGGCAGAAACTGGATTTAAAGTGGATTCATTCTCTAATGTGATGAAGTATTTGAAGAAACACATGAAAAGGTTCAGGAGAAGGTCCAGGAGGGTGACAACTTGCATTACTACACTGTGTGGCACCAACCCTGGTGGCATCACAGTTAAGAACCATAAAACTAGGGAAGTAATGCTACCCCTCTATTCTGTTTTGGTTAGACCACACCTGGAATATTGTGTCCAGTTCTGGGCACCACAATTCAAGAGAGATATTGACAAGCTGGAATGTGTCCAGAGGAGAGCGACTAAAATGATAAAAGGTCTGGAGAACAAGCCCTATGAGGAGCGGCTTAACGAGCTGGGCATGTTTAGCCTGAAGAAGAGAAGGCTGACAGGGGATATGATAGCCATGTATAAATATGTGAGAGGAAGCCACAGGGAGGAGGGAGCAAGCTTGTTTTCTGCTTCCCTGGAGACTAGGACGCAGAACAATGGCTTCAAACTACAAGAGAGGAGATTCCATCTGAACATGAGGAAGAACTTCCTGACTGTGGGAGCCGTTCAGCAGTGAAACTCTCTGCCCCGGAGTGTGGTGGAGGCTCCTTCTTTGGAAGCTTTTAAACAGAGGCTGGATGGCCATCTGTCAGGGGTGATTTGAATGCAATATTCCTGCTTCTTGGCAGGGGGTTGGACTGGATGGCCCATGAGGTCTCTTCCAACTCTTTGATTCTATGATTCTATGAACTGGGGAGGGGGGATTCAGTGTGTTTCCCAAATTTCCTAGTATTTTAGGTACAATGTTATAATATCGTATAGAAATGCCAAAGTACCCTAAAGGCACCACATCCTATCTGATCTTCAAAACTAAGTTGGTACTTGGATGAGAGACCGCCAACAAATACCAGGTGCTGCTGGTATAATTCACAGGAAAAAAGTGGCAAAGCAACCTCTTGAATATCCCTTGCTAAAGAAAATCCCGTTAAATCAATGGAATTGCCATGAATTGACATGACTTGAAGCCAGCAGAGGACTATGTTGCTGACACCATGAGTAACAACACAGAGTGGCACCAACCCTGTCAAGACCGATAAACTCAGGGAAGGGGGCCAACCTGTGAGTTCTATACAGGAAGTCCCCGAGTTACAAACATCCAACTTACAAACAACACAAGGCCCTTCCACAGCCATATAACCCAGAATATAAAGGCAGACAATCCACACATCAATAAAACAACAAAGCAGTATGCAAATAAAACAATACAATTAATATAACTCGAGTTGTCTTCGGGCTGAGAGGGGCGGTATACAAATATAGCAAATAAATAAATAAATAAATAGGCAATAACACACAAAAATTTAAAACCTATGGCCAGGCCAGATTGAATAGATTAAAATTTTAAAATATACACTGGGTGTGAATAGAGGTAGGATGTATCTAAGCAGGAGGGTTTTAAAGGATAGTGTAGGGAGAGCAACCCAACGAATAGTTAAAGTGCTTCTGAGGACTTGTTGATTGAAAGGTCACAGGTTCGAATCCGAGGAGCGGGGTGAGCTCCCGCTGTTGGCCCCAGCTTCTGCCAACCTAGCAGTTCAAAAACATGCAAATGTGAGTAGATCAATCAGTACTGCTCCAGCAGGAAGGTAAGAGTGCTCCATGCAGTCATGACCTTGGAGGCGTCTATGGACAACGCCGGCTCTTTGGCATAGAAATGCAGATGAGTACCAAAACCCAGAGTGAACTTTATATCAGAGGGAAACTCTTTTACCTTTACCTTACCAGGCATGGACCAACTTCGGCCCTCCCTCCAGGTGTTTTGGACTTACAACTCCCACAATTCCTAACAGCCTACCGGCTGTTAGGAATTGTGGGAGTTGTAAGTCCAAAACACCTGGAGGGAGGGCCGAAGTTGGCCCATGCCTGGTCTGCTAAAGCATGCCATTGCCTCACCAAACTACGACTCTGGAGCAGTGGAAGTGTTGTCAAGCTGCCTAAATTCCATAACCTGGGCAATCATTCAAAGGGTCCAGGCCTGGCCCCTTCTCTTCGTCCGATGGGCAGGACTTCGGGGGAGGGGCTTGGCCTGCCTGGCTGGAGAGGCGGGGCTGGGGGACCAGGAGGGAGGCTGGCCCAGAGGAAGCGGGAGCGGCCGGCCGGTGCGTCCCGGAGCAGAAGCCGCCTTGGGAAAGACGGAAGGCCACTGCGACGCCCTCCTCGCCCGAAAGACCAACGCTTGGCGAGGAGGGCGAGAGGGAGCTTTGGGCAAAGGGGAGGGGGTTCCTTCCGACTCCTTACGACGCCTCCCGATTCCTCCCGGAGTGAAGCGGGCGGCCGCGCGCTTGAAATGAGGTGAGTTCCAGCTCTCTCTGCCAAAGACTGGAGAGAAGAAAGGTTGCTCGGGACAAAGTTTCCTTCTCTCTGGATGCTGCCCTCTCTTGCCCTCTCTGTTGGAAAGTTTTGTTACAAGTAGCAACAGTTCATCAAAGGGAGAAAGAGATGCAACGCAAGCCCTTTCTTTCCCCTCCAAACACCTTCTCCGCGGGAGGAGCCCTCAAGCTCTGAGGAGGGAGGCCGTGGTGTGGAAGTGCTCAATAGGCAGGCGCAGGGAAAAGGCTTTGGATGCCGTTGGGAAACAGCATGGGAATTGGGTCGTTGTAGGGTTGTATGGCCATGTTCTAGAAGCATTCTCTCCCGACGTTTCGCCTGCATCTGTGACAAACATCCTCAGAGATTGTGAGGTTTGTTGGAAACAAGGCAAGTGGGGTTTAATAAGTCGGTGGAAAGTCCAGGGTGGTTAGCATTCAATAGCCTTGCAGCTTCAAGGCTTGGCTGCTTCCTGACAGAGGTTTAGTAACAAGCCACACACAAAAAAAACTGTCAGACCATCATATGCTAATCAAGGTGGTCAACTGAAACATTCACACCTAGCTCCAACAGACAAGAGTTCTTTCTCCCACCCTGGACTTTCCACAGGTATTGTCGAAGGCTTTCATGGCTGGAATCACTAGGTTCTTGTGGGTTTTTTCAGGCTATATGGTCATGTTCTAGAGGCATTTTCTCCTGACGTTTCACCTGCATCTATGGCAAGCATCCTCAGAGGTAGTGAGGTCTGTTGGAATTAGGAAAATGGGTTTATATATCTGTGGAATAACTGGGGTGGGACAAAGAACTCTTCTCTGCTGGAGCTAGGTGTGAATGTTTTAACTGACCACCTTCATTAGCATTGAAAGGCCTGGCTGAGCCTGGGGGAATCTTTTGTTGAGAAGTGTTAAGATGTGCCTGGTTGTTTCCTCTCTGCTGTTTTGCTGTTGTAATTTTAGAGTTTTTTAATACTGGTAGCCAGATTTCATTCATTTTCATGGTTTCCTCCTTTCTGTTGAAATTGTCCACATGCTTGTGGATTTCAATGGCTTCTCTGTGTAGTCTGACATGGTGGTTGTGAGAGTGGTCCAGCATTTCTGTGTTCTCAAATAATATGCTGTGTCCAGGCTGGTTCATCAGGTGCTCTGCTATGGCTGACTTCTCCGGTTGAAATAGTCTGCAGTGCCTTTCATGTTCCTTGATTCATGTTTGGGCGCTGCGTTTGGTGGTCCCTATGTAGACTTTCCACAGGTATACAAACCCAATTTTCCTAGTTTCCAACAGACCTAATAACCTCTGAGGATGGCTGCCATAGATGCAGGCAAAACGTCAGGAGAGAATGCTTCTAGAACATGGCCATACAACACAAAAAACCTACAACAACCCAGTGACTCTGGCCATGAAAGCCTTCAACAATATGTTGAGCATGGGAATTGCTACGCAGCCAAGAGGCTATGTTGTTGTTAGGTGATCCCTCGTAGCTAGAGGTTGGTGGTCCTCCAAGTGAGGTGTCTTGGCGGTGGGTGAGTAGGTGGCTATGGTCATGTGGCCGGCATGACTGCATGGAACACCCTTATCTTCCTGCTGGAGCAGTACGGATTGATCTCCTGAAATTTGCACGTTTTCGAACTGCTAGGTTGGCAGAAGCTGGGGCTAACAACAGGAGCTCACCCTGCTCCCCAGATTCGAACCTGTGACCTTTCAATCAACAATTCTTGATCCACATGTTCTCTCTCAGTGAGGACATCGGTTTCCATGTGGAAGGTGGTCCTGGTCAGGGTTGGCTTGAAATGCCTTCCTCTTGGCACATTTCTCTCTTTTGCCCTCCATTCATCCCTCTGTGAATTCTGCAGCACTGCTGGTCACAGCTAACCTCCAGTTAGAATGCTCAAGGGCCAGGGCTTCCCAGTTCTCAGTGTCTATGCCACCGTTTTTAAGGTTGGCTTTAAGCCCATCTTTAAATCTCTTTTCTTGTCCACCAACATAATAATAATAATAATAATAATAATAATAATAATAATCTTTATTTATACCCCACCATCATCTCCCCAAAGGGGACTCGGGGTGGCTAACATGAGACCAAGCCCCAAATATAATACAGCAAAGTTAGACACAAAACAACAGAAAAATTACATCACAACAAAATACATAAAATAACATAATAAAATCAAACACAAAGGCCGGGTCAAATGCACGAGATAAAATGTTGAAATCCTGGGAGATAGGAATAAAAAAGTGTATTAAAAAGTGTATTTGTGAGGGAGGAGCCCAAGAAGGAGGAGCAGTGGGGTTTGGCCTTTATTAAGGCCAGGGGAAAGTGCATCATGAGGACAACTGTAAATGGAAACAAACAAAATGGGTTGAATGGTCACTCTCTGAAGGCACATCAGAAGAGCCAAGTTTTTAGATATTTTTTAAAGGTTGCTAGGGTGGGGACTTGCCTAATTTCACAAGGCAGCGAGTTCTAGATCCGGGGGGGGGGGGGGGGGGCACTGTGGAGAAGGCTCTCTCCCTCGTTTCCCCAAGTCGTGCGTGTGATAGAGGAAGGGGTGAAAGGAGGGCCTCTCCAGAAGATCAAAGAGATCATTTTCCTTCTTGAGTTCAGAGTTGCTTTGAGAGATGATGATCAGGCATTCGGACAATGTGGCCAGTCCAGTGGAGTTGATGATGGAGGAGCATCACTTCAGTGCTGGTGGTCTTTGTTTCTTCCAGCACGCTGACATTTGTCCACCTGTCTTCCCAAGAGATTTGCAGGATTTTTCGGAGGCAGCGCTGATGGAAACGTTCCAGGAGTTGCATATGACATCTGTAGACAGTCCACGTTTTGCAGGCATATAGCAGGGTTGGGAGGACAATGGCTTCATAAACAAGCATCTTGGTCTCCCATATGGATGTCCTGGTCCTCAAACACACTCTGCTTCATTCAGAAAAATGCTGCACTTGCAGAGCTCAGGTGGTGTTGTATTTCAGTGTCAATGTTGACTTTTGTGGAGAAGCGGCTGCCAAGGTAGTGGAAATGGTCAACATTTTCTAATGTTACACCATTAAGCTGTATTTCTGGCAATGGAGAGGGATCGGCTGGTGACTGCTGGAAGAGCACTTTGGTTTTCTCAATGTTCAATGAGAGAGCCAAGAAGAGGATGGGAGAAGAAGGTAGCATTTTCCCCCTTAAAAAAAACTTGAGGTTGCCCATTTCTTCTCCAAGGCTTCAGCTCATAACCCCAGAGTGGAAAAGGACTCTGGTGTAAAATAAGCAATCACAATCCAATGTATTGTCAAAGGCTTTCATGGCCAGAATCACTGGGTTGCTGTGAGTTTTCCTGGCTTCATGACCATGTTCCAGAAGCATTCTCACTTGACGTTTTGCCCGCAACTATGGCAGGCCTCCAGTGAGGTCTGGTGAAAAGGAAAGGGCATGAAGCTGTTAGGAATTGTGGGAGTTGAAGTCTGAAACACCTGGAGGGCCAAAGGTTTCCCATGCCTGGCATAGAGAATTGCTCATTGGATCCTCAGCAAGATCATCCAATATACCTTACAATACAAAGTCTATACAGCAGAGTTTTGAATTATGTAAAAGACTACCAAGATTTATTACAGTGTGTGCTCATGCACTGCAATAAAGCAAGGGTGTTTATATATCTGTGTAATGTCCATAATGGGAGAAAGAACTCTTGTCTGCCTGAGTCAAGTTTGAATGTTGCAATTGGCCACCTTGATTAGCATTGAATAGCCTCGTAGCTTCAAAAACTGGCTGCTCCCTGCCTGGGCAAATCCTTTTTTGGGAGGCGTAAGCTGACCCTGATTGATTCTTGCCTGGAATTTCCCTGCTTTTTGAGTGTTGCTTTCTATTTACTGTCCTGATTTTAGAGGTTTTTTTTTTAATACTGGTAGTCATATTTTGTTCATTTTCATGATTTCTTCCTTCCTGTTGAAATTGTCTACATGCTTGTGGATTTCAGTGGCTTACTTGTGTAATATGACATGGTGGTTATTAGACTGGTCCAGCATTTCTGTGTTCTCAAATAATACGCTCTGTCCAGGTTGGTTCATCAAGTGCTTTGTTATGGCTGGCTTCTCTGGCTGAAGTAGTCTGCAGTGCCTTTCAGTACTAGGTTCAGTAAAGGACAAGAGGGATCCTCCCACCTCTGTAGGAGTCTACCGTATACCTTGCAGTTGTGAATAAGTCTACGCAGGGACAACAAAATACAGCATTGCCCAAACATGAATCAGGGAACATGAAAGGCACTGCAGACTAAATCAACCAGAAAAGTCAGCCATAGCAGGACACTTCACTTGATGAACCAACCTGGACACAGCGTAATATTTGAGAACACAGAAATGCTGGATCACTCAAACAACTACAATGTCAGGCTATACAAAGAAGCCATTGAAATCCACAAACACGTGGACAATTTCAACAGAAAGGAGGAAACCATGAAAATGAACACAATCTGGCTACTAGTATTTTAAAAAACCCTCTAAAATCAAAACATTAAATAAAGAATCATAGAATCATAAAGTTGGAAGAAACCTCATGGGCTTTCTAATCCAACACCCTGCCAAGAAGCAGGAAAATCGCATTCAAAGCACCCCCAACAGATGGCCATCCAGCCTCTGTTTAAAACACTCAAAAACGGGAATTCCAGACAAGAAACCATCAGGGCCAGCTAATCACCTCCCAAACAAAGGTTTACCCCGCAACAGCCAGCCAGACCTTGAAACTACAAGGCCATTCAATGCTAATCAAGGTGGCCAATTGCAACGTTCATATTGCCTCAGGCAGACAAGACTTCTTTCTTTCTCCCACCCTGGACATTCCACAGATATATAAACCTCACTTTCCTAATTTCCAAGAGACCTCACAACCTCTGAGGATACCTGCCATAGATGTAGGCAAAACATCAGGAGAGAATGCTTGCGGAACATGGAAATACAGCCCAGACAACTCATAACAACCCAATCACAATCTGGTTAAAGGACTTAAAAATCAACAAGGGACTAAAACACGCTTAAGGCCTTATTCAGGGTAGCCTAGTAACACTGAGATTCTGCAAATGCTTCTCATTTTGTAAAGTGCTTATTCTTGGACATAGGGGTTCAGCAGTAGAATTAATAGGACCCCTCCCCCCAAGTAGGGCAAAAAGCAGTAATCCAAGTGCAGGTTGTTGTGTTCACATCATTTGAAGGAAGAGCTTACTTAAGAAGAAAACTTTGGACTAAGTGTGAAGGTGTCATTAAATAAAATGGGATATAACCCGCTTTATTGCAGCGCATAAGCACATGCTATAATAAATTTCGTAGTCTTTTATGCAGTACAAAACTCTGCTGCATAGATTTTGTACTGTAGGGTATATTGGATGACCTTGCAGAGGATCCAATGAGCAATTCTGTACACCAGGAATGGGCAAACTTTAGCCCTCCAGGTGTTTTGGACTTCAACTCCCACAATTCCTAACAGCCTCAGACCTCTTCATTTTCTCCCCCAGATGCTTAAGCAGCTGAGGGGGGAAAGGAAAGGTCCTGAGGCTGTTGGGAATTGTGGGAGTTGAAGTCCAAAACACCTGGAGGGCCGAAGTTTGCCCATGCCTGCTCTTTACAGTGTACCTTCAAGCCACACTTGAACTTATGGCAACCCAAGGCATTTCATTGGGTCTTCTTAAGCAAAGAATATTCAAGAGGGGTTTGAGGCAGTTCTTTCCTCCTAAATATAGCCCGCAGCTCTTGGTATTCATTGGTAGTCTCTCATTAGTGACTTGCTCATAGGCTGATACCATTGACCTCTGGTGCTTCGACTTCTACTTCATTTGTGTTTCCTCATAGGGAAGTTGATAGAAAATGGTTGAAGCTCATTTTCTGCTCAAGATTGAGGTTGCTGATCTTGTGCTATCCTAACACTGCTTTTTGTAACATGTGGAAGTTCATTTGCGTTGAAATAGAGAGGAGTTTGGAAAAGATTTACGGTATATGTGATAAGGCACAGTTTTCATTTTTCTTTAAAAAAGTCACATTGGCCACAAACTTCACTTGAGAGTAATGTCCCATTTTCTAATGTTATGTCCACATTTAATGTTCCCAATATCATCACAGCGCATCATATTGGATTCGCAATGAGGAAAGCTGATTTTTAAAATGTTGGAAGTGTGGTTGGTGGCAGGGATACTGAGTGCTGGAACCACTTTGGTTTCTTTATATTTTTTATTAGGTGTCCCTCTTTCCAATGGTGCATTAAAGAGGATGGTAAAAAAGGGGGTGTAGTAGATTGTATCATTAGTGTAATTTCTCTATGGTTTCTAGAACTCATTATATATATTATATATTATATATTAGGCCTGGGCGGTTTCGTTCGTTAATTTTGTAATTCGTTAAATATTTGTTATTTTTAGCAATTACGAAACGATTACAAAACACATTTTCAAACCCGGAAGGGTTTTAAAATAACGAAACGGCATCCCCCATACTTTTAACGAGCTTCCGCCCGTTTCGTAAATGGGATGGAGGATGCTGGTGCCCTGGGAGCCAATCCGGCGCTCCCAAGCACCCAAGCAGTGCACCGTGGCTGTTTCTGATTGGCCGGCGAGCCCTTTAAAAGCGGCTCCGCGCGGCCGTACAGCTCATTGCTGCAGAGGGCAAGGGAGAAGAGAAGAGGTCCGGGAGGGTTTGCATTGGGTTGGCTTGCAACTGCTTGGATTGGATTCATTCCTTGCTCATTCCTTGCTTGGATTCATTCCTTGCTGCTTAGTGCTTATTATTCCTTGCTTGGATTCATTCCTTCCTTCGGTTTTTGTGAATTTGTTTGTTAATTTTCCATTTTTAAATATTTTTTAATATTTTCTAAAAATACCTGTCTTTTATTCTTAAAAAATACAAAAAATATTCTAAAAAAGAAAAGACTCTTCTGTTGCTGTGTGCTCTCATTTGCCCTGTCTCGTGGCTGTGTTTGGTCCACATCAGGGCCAGTTTTTGGTTAAGTTTCCATTTTTGAATATTTTCTAAAAATACCTGTCTTTTATTCTTAAAAAAACCCAAAAATATTCTAAAAAAAAAGACTCTTCTGTTGGTGTGTGCTCTCGTTTGCCCTGTCTCGTGGCTGTGTTTGGTCCACATCAGGGCCAGTTTTTGGTTAAGTTTCCATTTTTGAATATTTTCTAAAAATACCTGTCTTTTATTCTTAAAAACCAAAAATATTCAAAAAAAAGACTCTTCTGTTGCTGTGTGCTCTCATTTGCCCTGTCTCGTGGCTGTGTTTGGTCCACATCAGGGCCAGTTTTTGGTTATTTTCCATTTTTGAATATTTTCTAAAAATACCTGTCTTTTATTCTTAAAAAACCAAAAATATTCCAAAAAAAGAAAAGACTCTTCTGTTGCTGTGTGCTCTCTTTTGCCCTGTCTCGTGGCTGTGTTTGGTCCACATCAGGGCCAGTTTTTGGTTAAGTTTCCATTTTTGAATATTTTCTAAAAATACCTGTCTTTTATTCTTAAAAAACAAAAATATTCTAAAAAAAGAAAAGACTCTTCTGTTGCTGTGTGCTCTCATTTGCCCTGTCTCGTGGCTGTGTTTGGTCCACATCAGGGCCAGTTTTTGGTTAATTTTCCATTTCTGAATATTTTCTAAAAATACCTGTCTTTTATTCTTAAAAAAATACAAAAAATATTCTAAAAAAAGAAAAGAGTCTTCGGTGGCTGTGTGTGCGCTTGTCATTTGTGTAGTTCCAACCAGTGCGCTCCTTTTGCCAACACAAAGTGCTACATACACTTGCTCATCATTTGTGTAGTTCCAACCAGTGCGCTCCTTTTGCCAACATAAAGTGCTATAATACAGTGCTCGCTCATTTGTGTAGTTCCAACCAGTGCGCTCCTTTTGCCAACACAAAGTGCTATAATACAGTGCTCGCTCATTTGTGTAGTTCCAACCAGTGCGCTCCTTTTTGCCAACAGAAAGTGCTATAATACAGTGCTCGCTCATTATTTGTGTAGTTCCAACCAGTGCGCTCCTTTTGCCAACGCAATCGCGTCCGCCGTTTTAACGAATCGATTCGTTATAACCTTAACGAATCGACCCCGCACCAATAACGAAGCTTCGGAAGTGATTTTGCGCATGCACGGGGGTCCGCCATCTTAACAAATCAATTCGTAAATATTTACGAAATTTCGTAAATACCGAACTTTTTTTAAGGGAAAATTTTGTAATTATTTTAAATATCGAAACAAAAAAACACCCCAATTACAAATCGATTTTAGAAACAAATTTTTGCGTTGTTACCCAGGCCTATTATATATATATGGTGAATTCATTGTTGTAGGAAAGCTAAAGCAATCTTTCTATACTAGTTAAAGCATCATTGTGCATGATACGCTTTGTCACACATAGAACTTGATCCAATGAAAACTACTGCTTTACCTGCTTTATTTCTTTACTGAAAACCACCATGGCAGCAACCATTTATGCACCATTATTCTTGGCAAGCATTCTTGGTCTGTAAGTTAGTAGCCCGTTTTCTTAAACAATACCTTTTCATCTGCTTTGTTGTTCAACTATTAATGTGTGCGGGGTGGGGTGTTGTACGAAAAATCCACATTCTTCCAGATATATTGGCTTTCTATAATGTGTCCAGAGAAGGGCGACTAAAATGATCAAGGATCTGGAGATCAAGCCCCATGAGGAGTGGCTTAAAGAGCTGGGCATGTTTAATTTGCAGAAGAGAGGGCTGAGAGAAGACATGATGGCCATGTATCAAGATATGAAGGGAAGTCATAGGGAGGAGGGAACAAGCTTGTTTTCTGTTGCCCTGGAGACTAGGGCCCCTTCCACACAGCTGGTGTATATAGCAGTGTGGACTCAGATAACCCAGTTCAAAGCAGATATTGTGGGATTTTCTGCCTTGATATGTCTGTGTGGAAGGACCCTAGGACACAGAACAATGGCTTCAAACTACAGGAAAGGAGATTGGACCTGATCATTAGGAAGAACTTCCTGACTGTGGGAGGTGTTCAGCAGTGGAACTCTCTGCCCTGGAGTGTGGTGGAGACTCCTTCTTTGGAGGTTTTTAAACAGAGTCTGGATGGTCATCTGTTGGGGGTGCTTTGAATGCAATTTTCCTGCTTCTTGGCAGGGGGTTGGACTGGATGGCCCACAAGGTCTCTTCCAACTCTATGATTCTATAGATATAGTAATGTAACTGTCATTCCCCAGATCTGCTGACTACAGGGAATTAGGACTACAGGGAATCAACTCTATGATGCTATGATTCTATCTTTGGACTCCTCGGATGATGGTGATGGTGATGATGATGATTGCATTTCTTACTTGCCTCTCCTCTTGGCTCAAGGCAGGTCACAGAATAATTTAAGCACATAAACATTGTAAAAATACTACAAGTACACATATTAAAATGTATTTCTATAAAAGCAATATATTAAAACGTATTTCTATAAAACACATGTTAAAAGTATTTTAACATGTATGGTCCAGGATTAAGCCTGTCCCTAACCTTAGCCTACTTAATCCCTTGATTTTAGTGCAAGGCAGAAAATTTAGAAAAGAAAGGCTCTGTTGGTTTGTGTTTTACTTGTTCTTTTCTTGTTTAAAAGGACAGATTGCACTCCTGATGTCCAGTTGACTTTATCTATTGGAATGGATGGACAAAATGAAGTGGATTTTTCCAATAATAACATTGCACCACTGTGGAGGAGAAGATCTGCACACCAACTCCATTTGCATGCAAAGAACAAACCTAGGCCCCAATCCTACCAGAGTTCCACCGGGGTCCTCTTCACTGATTTTCCTGTAGAAGACAGAGAGACATTCACTTTAACTCAGCGTGCAGAAACAATTACTTCTCCAGACAGCAAATCCATTCAAAGAAATCCTCAACGTTTTGGCTGCAGTTTTGATTCTTTGCCAAATGGCAAGGTTCAATTTTCAGAGTGTAAAACTGTCTCCCCAAGGCTTTCTGAACAGTCTCCTCAGGCGTTGAAAATAGGTCCAAACAAGTCTATAAATTTTACAGCTAATGGTTCAGCAGGCAGTAATCTGGTTAACCGAGGAAGGGTTTCCAATCAGACTGCACAGATTCCTGAGCTGGGTCAAACTGCTTGCATATCAGGTCTTGGATTATCACTTACAGAAGTCATGCATTCACCAAATAACAACACAACTGCTGCCTTTGTGTTACAACCCAGCCAACTTTCTAAAAACTCAGAGCAGACATCTGCCAGCCTATCTGCTTCCTTGGAGCAACAGCATCTGCCTCTCCAAAGAATACCATCAAATCAGAATGAGATTACAGAAACACCACCTGTGGTGCTGAGCACAAATAGTCCCGTTGCCTTAAAAGTGGGAAAGCAGCAGATCATCCCTAAGAGTTTAGCTTCTGAAATAAAAGTAACCAACAAAGCCAACAGTCAAAATGTGGAACCAAACAGAAGAGTTCTGAAGGTTCGTAGTATGGTGGAGACCCCTGGCATGCCTTTAGTAGCTGGTGGAGATGAAGCAACAGATGGTGACAAGGAAAGCCCAGGAATACTGAGACGTAGTTTGCGGTCCACTTCATATCGCCGTGCTGTTGTGAGTGGCGTTGATTTTGACAGCTCTGCCAACTTTAAGATAAAAAACAGGATGTCTCAACCGGTGCTGAAGGCAGTCCTGGAGGACAAGGAGAAATTTTCCAGCTTAGGAAGAATAAAGGTATGTAAATCCATTCAATTTTTATTGAAGATTTGCAGTGTGGCTTTTTATTTTAAAAACCATTATTTTTATGCTGCATGTGTAATCCATTCACCTTACAAGAAGTACAGAATAGTTCACAACATCTCTCTTACATGGTTACTGATAGTGCTTTGCCATAAACCAGCTACTAAGCTCGTTCATCTGTGTTATGCCTGTTGTAGTAAATGCTATCTGATATAATGAAAATATGTATGACTGAAAACAGCTAATGATAGGGCAGTGATGGTTTGAACAAATGTACGGACAAGCCTCATCCTGAATTACACTAGGTCATTGGTGCAGTGGAAGAAAACCAGTACAGTTAACGCCAGAGAAGTGAAGGAGTGAGAAGCCAAGTTGGCCCTCTGGATGAGAAAATTGTTCTCCCCACACATGAATAATGAATAGCTTAGGTCTATGTTGCAGTGGGTAATGCACATTTTATAGGTGGCATTATGGCATGTAGAAAAGAAGATGCCAACCACAGATACAGGTGAAATGTAAGGAGAAAATGCTGCAAGAACACGACCATACAACGCTCCCAATATAAAAGAAAATTGGTAGTTTATAGGGCTGAAGAGAGAGAAATATGTTCTGCCTGAAGAGGACTCTGTTGTGTTGTGTGCCCATCTTCACAATACCAATAGAAAATAAGAGAGTGCTCATTTCCCTCTCTACAATAGACTTTCCTATCCATCTCTTACATGATGTGCTGAAGAGTTGACTAAATGATCTCCTGAGATGTTGGATTACAGTGTCTGTTTTAACATGCTGGGCAGGGATGATACCAATTGTAGTCCAACCAGTCATGCATATCATTCCCAGGCTGAGAAAGACTTATCTAAGTACAGGTTGCTTAAAGGTGAAATGTTCTCATTATTGTTCACTGTTGAACCAAGGAGCTTGTACTGAAAGGATCTCCAAAAAGGGATTTTTGCTGCTATGTGACAAAAGTCTATTTGAAAGCTTTATTAAAAAGCAATATGTTATACTTTTCATTTGAAAAAATATATAGACATCTCCGATTCAAATTAAGAAGCAGTGCAGAGGCCCTATTCAAATTCTCCTAGGGAGTTGTTGAACACACAGATACACACTCAATTTTTTATCTGATTTTAGTGGCCAACTTCCTTTTCCAAAATTTTTTCCTCCCTGAAATCTGTCTTTGAAACTTGTAAGGCCAAGAAACATTAATAGAACTCTTTTTGTCTCTGTTCTCAAAGCTGAAAAGGGAAAGGGAAGTTCTGCCCAGTAGAAAACTAGGGATGGGGCAGGAACAGAAGCTTGTTTTGGCTTTGTGTTTGTAGGTGCTCAAAACTCCTGTTGAGTGCAGTGTCAAACCGTGTGTTTCCTCTTGTCTCTACCTTGCACCTGGAGAGGAGATACAGTATGTGTTGGCTTGCTCTATCTCTTGTATCTGTTGGAGAGCAGAGTCAAGACAAATTCCAAACATATTTGATTCTGTTCAATATTGAGGCTGGAGAAGATATGGGATCCTTCTTTTCTGTTCCAGGGTCTTGTGTACCGAGACCTGTATGACGTCTTGTCATGATGAATGAGTCAAACAAGATAATCAGCCCTTTATTTCTATCGCATATTTGCCTTCTTTATACTGGAAACAGTTTCCCTGAGAACACTCATGAACTTGAAATGCACATCTCCTCTTTGCACATTATATGTTCTATGAAAAACAGAACTTTACATGGAAAACATGACTACTGCATAAAGTGTGAATATGTCCTGGCTGGAAGACAAGAACCTGGTTTTCTCATGTCTTTGATCAAGTTCTTTAGACGTTGGAATACAGTGGCTTTTTGTTTGAAGGAAAGCTCTTTCTAGAACTTTGTGAAATTATTATCGGTATAATATTTGTTGAGTTATTGCTCACTGTGAACCATCAGCTTTGAGCCAGATCTATAACTACATGGGTATATAGTACATCTCTAGACCCAAGGGACTGTGACTTCATTTATCCATGGCCTGAGGCTTCATGGGAGTTATGCTGAAAGCTGGAGAATCTTTCTAGAATCAACACAATTTCAGTGGGTTGTGTGTTCTGTACTGCAAGCATGAGAAGTGGGATGAGTTACCTTCTGTTCTTTTATAGTAATTAGAAAGATTACCTTTGCATGAACCTTTTGTGAATAATATAACAAGTGCTGATCCCAGAATGTGTACTGATAAGGATATTTGGAATTGCTAATTTCGGAGTATAGATATGCACAGATAAACTTCCCTGGCCTTTCAGTTCCCTATAGATGTGTACAAAAGTGTCAGAAGAAACTGCTTCTTGTTCCTTAAATGTTTCTTAACACCATTGCATTTACAGAATTATTAGCATGGTCCTATTTATTATATCTCTTATTGCATTTGGCTGTTTCCAAAGATGTTTCAAACCTACAAACCAAGCAGTGAAGGAAACATCTCTACCAAACCTAAACATTCCTTCTGCATCTAGCTGCATTCTGAATAAACATAATAAGGAAAGTCCAAGTAAGCACATTTGTATAGTTGAGATGCAGAAACATGATATTTTTGGTATTGTCTCTATTAAAAATAGGTTTTTTAAATTGAGTTTTGAGTGATCGGGACCACACTAATTGTCAGTGTAGAAGGGCACTGAAAGATTGTGACTTCAAAAAGTGGGTTTCCATGACTGATTGGGAATTTGAATCCTGGTTTTCTGAGTCATTGTGCTATAGTGGTTTGAGTGTTGGGTTACAACTTTGGAGACCGACATTTGAATCCCCAAACAGTCAGGAAAATCCATTGAGTGACCTTAGGCAACCCACACTCTCTCAACTTCTGAGGAAGGAATGGCAAATGCAGTCTGAAAAAACTTACCAAGAAAACACTGTGAAAGTGTCATCACATGTCGTAAATGCCCTGAGGTCATACAGCAATGTCAGAGTCATAGTTCAGTGCTCAAACTGCTGCACCACAGTAGCTCTCACTCTCTAGGCTAGGTATACTTTTAATAACATATTTAGTTTAAAATCTAAATAGCGAATGTCTTAAAATTGTATAGCGAAGCACTCCAGAACTCACCAGGACTAACCATAATTAGTATGGATGTACTCAAATACATGTTGATGTAGTGAAGTTAATTCTTGTGTGGTTTTTTTCATGGCTTGTTTGTTATACGACTGTACAACCAATTAAATAAAATGTCCTTCGTGAAAGAGTTCTCAGTACACAGTTTTAAAACAAATGGTGTTTTATACAAAAGCTGTGGACTTTTCAAAATAATGACGGATTAATGAAACCACTTGCATATTTATTAAAGTCTACAAAAATGAACCACTTGTCTACTTCCTTCAAAATAATTTGTTCTATTCAGAAGGAAAAATTATTCACAACCCAAATGTACCATGTGATGCAACCTGATATGCATGTGGAACTCCTCTATTTGTTAGTTAGTTGATTATTTTGATGGAGACAGCAAGTCCATATGTGTATCTTTTTGTGGCGGTTTTGGTGGGCTCTGAAATGATTTCAACTTTTCAAGAGTTATAAATACTTTGTGGCAGGGATTGCAAGTATGTCTTACTAATGAGAAAATATTTTTTCACATTTGTTTGTGGCATTTCTTTTTCTTATGCTATTTGCTACATATACTTATATTCACCACCCTTTTTCTTCATCTTAGAAGAAAATGCTGAAAGGACAAGGGACCTTTGATGGAGAAGGTAAGAATGTTTTCAGGTTGTTTGTTTAGGGCTTTTGAACAATTGATGCAGAAAGCACAGAAGGAAACAAATAAGATGTATTTTGCAAAGAAAGTTTTGTACGAAGGCATAACTAAATGGATTTCTTTGTGTATATTTACTGAGATGCAAACAGTCTTCTGTTCTGTTGGGGTTGGACTTCGAGAAATTATAAAATATATGGGGTTTTATAAAATGAAATTTTTGGTGTTTTCTTAATATTTAGGCAGAGATTAGGGAACCAATTTGGGAGAGCTGTAGCTTCCAAAATTTACCAACCTACCAGTTGTAATTATCATAGCCAGTGATGAAGCATGCTGAGTTTAGTTCAGCAACAATGGAAGGATTATAGGTTCCCTATGCTTTTGTTTAAGAAGACTATGATTGTAAAAATACTGTTTGCAAAATAAATGTTTTCACCAATGCAGAATGATTTGGTGTTTCTTTGCCTCTTGCTGCCATTTCTCTTGACAGGTAGTGTAGCTATTTGGTTCTCCATGTCTGTTGGAGTTATCAGTCTTGACTATAATGGGTTATCTCTGGATTTACTGCCCTTGCCCTTTCCCAATTTGCATCTGCTTTGTTTTGTATCAGCTCTCAAGTCCATCAAAAAGGCATGTTTGTCATCACAATATTTCAAGCTTTTCCGTACTCCTTTGATGATAAATTTTCCAAGCAATAGTTTACTTATTGTTTACCAACTAGACTTCCCCACTCAAACATTTTATGAGTCCTTTTGTTTCTTTTTCAATAGCATTAAAATACTTCCTTGAACTTTGCAGCATTTGCTTCACTGAACTTATAAATTTCTCAAGCTTTATCTTCTTTGGCTCTTAATGCCAGTTTTGATTTAGTTTCCATCTTAAAAGCTTCATTTCTCTAACTCTGAAACTTACACCATATTCTTGTAGCTATGATGTACATACTGAGCTGGCATAGTGCATATACTTGTTAGTTTCTTATTCATTTGCCAGAAAGTTAGTTGTCTGGCAGAGTCGTCAAACCACGTGCTGTTATAGCATTACATATTTACATATGACACATATTTTCCTACAGTTTATAGACTCTTTCAATCCAGGCTGTAAAGGGTATTAACAGCTGAGCTCTGACACAAGAATCTTAAAAGGAATGACTGAGTGCCTAGTGAGCAGATAGTGTTTGGATTTTATTCCCACTTGGCAAAGAAAATCAATAAAGCAGAAGCAAAGAATTCCATACAACATGTACATAATGATCATATGCAAATAACTTGGAATCAATTCCTGCAAAACTTGATATATCATTCTTATAACTAGATGCATGCATGATTGCAAGATGGAAAACACAGTTCAATCTACTTACAGTAGAGGTTTTATTTTAACATTTTACGGCTGATTTGTGTTCATGCTTAAGGTAAAAGCAGCCCCCCCCCCACCTTTTTAAAAAATTTCCTATAACATTTTAGCTCAGATGTCATATATCAACTTTCTCTCTGTGGTATCTTCTGAATGCCTCTCTGTTGTAGGTATGCATCAGCAAGGGTTATACAACATGATAAGCCAAGGATTCATGTAAAACCTGGCTTGTCAATTAGGAGCAGCATACTAGTGCTTGCAGAAGAAGAAACTAATGAAACCACAAATATTTGCTCCATTGTTTTTGGATTCCCCCCTCTCCCCCAAACACAAATACAGCTGCGGTGTTTCCCTTACCACGAACCACACAAAGAAACCTGAAATTCTGAATTTTTGTCTGAATTGTTGCAGGGAAATGTCAGAGCACTGCTTGCATTCTGGTGACACAGTAAACGAGTTGAAACTCAAGTGACAAAAATGTACTTGCTCCTTGTATCTGATAAGTGAGTGATGGCATCGCAAAGCATGATGGGAAGATATTTTGCCACACTGAGTCATTTTGCAGGCAGAATCTGGAATAAAATCATCTCCATTTTCTTTTTTTAAATTGGGAGTAGACTAAGGCATTCTTGGTTAGTTCTTCTTAATGCTTGTTTCACCATGACTGTTACAAAGGGTTATTTCCATGAGGGGAGCAGTACATTTGTGGTTGGGATCTAAAACCACAACAGGCATTTGCCATAAGAGTTCCTTTTAAGCAGTGCTGACTTCTGTAATATAAGAAACTATCATTATGTTCTTGATTTGGGGAAGTATATACAAAATTAACACAGAATTGTTATGTACTGAAGTCTTAATTCCCCAACAGATCAGTGAGCTTTCTGCTGTGTTATTTTTAAAGTTTGTTTCAGTGCTTCAAAGTATCGTTTTCTTGAATATTTCTTATTATAGTTTATGTTTAGGGTTCAATCCAAATTTTGCTGATTAATTCATTCCAGTGCTAGAACATGGAGTTCTATGGCTGCCAAAGTTGGGGTACAATGTCTTCTGAAGTTGGGTTTTCTGGTGGAGAATTTAAGATACTTGGGACTTAAACCTGCAGTTGCTTGCCTTTGCAGTAATTTTAATCTTTAGAACTGTTGTGGCTTTGCAGCTTGTCACTAAGAGATTATCTAGCTTTTGGATCACTTTAAAAAAAATAAGACTGTTTGTACTCATTATATTTTAAATGGCAAGGAAAGCTGAATATAGTAGTGCAAATTATGCAACTCAAGGAAAGATATTTTGTATTCCCTTGTTGTTGTTGTTCATTCGTTCAGTCGTCTCCGACTCTTCGTGACCTCATGGACCAGCCTACGCCAGAGCTCCCTGTCGGCCGTCACCACCCCCAGCTCCTTCAAGGTCAGTCCAGTCACTTCAAGGATGCCATCCATCCATCTTGCCCTTGGTCGGCCCCTCTTCCTTTTACCTTCCACCTTCTCCAGCATAATTGTCTTCTCCAGGCTTTGCTGTCTCCTCATGATGTGTATTCCCTTACCTTGTATAATATAACACATGTCATGTATCCATTGGGGAAGTAGAAGGATCATTGTGTAGTATTAAATTCTGTGTTCTCAGAGTTCTCCTGAGAGTTAGCAGGCACTGCCCACAGATACTCAACCCTAATTTTACAAGCATAAGGTTTAGAAACTTGTCATAGTCAAAATGAAAACTGAACATATGAAGAAGTTTAATCCACTGGTTGCTGGGACACCATGTAACCTTTCATATTAACTAGTCAGATCAAATGTTCACCCAAATCTCTGTATTCATTATTCATTCAAGCAGAAGCTGAGAGATAATACAACTGATTTTGGTTCTCTCTTAACAAAGAACACTAGCTATTATTGAATTCAGATGGAAGGCATCTCTCTTTTTTTGGTGGTGGTACAGTGATCTATTGTTGCTGTAATGTGTAGTATGCTAGCCCATTGTCTGCCTTGAACAAAACTCTGTCTTTGTCTTCAGCGTTTGAGATGCATAATTATGTTATTTAGAAACTCTTCTCAAACCGATTTTCTTTTGTGTTTTCCCCCCAGAAAATGCTGTGTTATATCAGAACTACAAAGAAAAAGCTCTTGATATAGATTCTGATGAAGAGTTGGAATCAAAAGAACACAAGTCAAATGAAAAAATAGTTATTCAATATAAACCTTTGAGATCAACATGGAGTCAGTTGTCTGCGGTAAGTGTCATGGTGTTACAAAGCCCAAATCCAATTTGGAATGCAACCTCGCCTGTAAGCAAGCCTCTTTATCTGTCAGTGTCCTTTTCAGCTTGAGGTTTTATAGCCAACCCCTTGCCCTCAAACTACCTCCCAAAGTGAAGCGTTAGGTACATGTGGTTAGTACTCAGTAGTTGTAATTGACAAAGGTACAGCTGCCGGATCTGCATTCCTAACTTCGTTTGAGTCATAGTTTCTAGGCAAACAATTCATATAAGTTAACTGTGCTGGGAGTTATAAAAGCATTTGCTTTCAGGGTTTTATTGGAGTGAAGGGGAGACCTTGAAGCATTTTAAATAAAATAGCCATATGGAGAGAGTTAATGAAAATATGTACTGTGAAAATGGGGAGGATAAGCATAACGTTTATTTTTATTAACACTATGCTACTTCATGTTGTCTTTGCCTGCATTAATGGAAGCATAGCTTTCAAGTCAAGGGAAGTAATAGTCCCACTATATTCTGTACTTGTACTGGTCGGGCCTCATCTAGAGTACTGTGTTCAGTTGTGGGTGTCTTATTTTAAACAGAAAATTGACAAGTTGGAGCAAGTTCAGAGGATGATAAGAGGTATAGAAAACTAAATATATGCAGAGAGATTGAAGGAACTGGACATTTTAAGCTTGGTGAAGAGAAGATTGAAGGATACATGATCATAGTCTTTAAATACCTCAAGGGCTGCCACATAGAGGAGGGGACAGGCCTGTTCTCTGCTATCCTAGAAGTTAGAACTACCTGTTTTGTTTTAACTTGATGTATTTATACACTGAATTGGCCAAACTGTAAGCCTCTCTGAGCCTCTGTAAGCCTCTCTTCTCACCATTTGGGGTGAGAAGAGCGACGTAACAACAACGACAACAACAACAACAACAACTTTACTTTTATACCTCACCTCCATCTTCTCAAAGGGACTCGGGGCGGCTTACAAAGGGACAAGCCCAGAGAGTACACGATTAAAACGTAATGCAATAAAATAAAAGTGCTGAGTTCAGAGGGCTCGGAGTTTGTGCAAAATTCCTAGATAGAGCTAAGGGAAAGTGCAAAATTCAGTGGCATTTATTTATTTACAATATTTATAGCCCGCCTTTCTCACCCATACAGCGACTCAAGGCAAGTTACAGATTGGCACAATTTGATGCCAGACATTCATAAAAGTGCAATTAAAAACAACATGACAATATAAAACATATATAAAAACCATTAAAATGTATAATATAAATATATAAATAAATTTTACATATCCTTCTTTCATATACATAAGAATCGTTGTTTCCATATTTATTTAGTTCATTGTGTAAAAGATAGTGTAATAGATTAGCATTTTAAGCATGAAATCCCCATGTTGGAATTTTCTTTTTTTCTAGGAAGTTTTCTCAATCTTTCTGGAACATTGAAGGGTCTTTTATCTGAAGATATCTTGTCATATATTTTATATTATAAATCACACAGAAAAAATCATTTGAAAGTTGTATATTTTTTTCAATAAATAACTAAAATTGTCGAAGGCTTTCATGGCTGGAATCACTAGGTTCTTGTGGGTTTTTTCGGGCTATAGAGCCATGTTCTAGAGGCATTTCTCCTGACGTTTCGCCTGCATCTATGGCAAGCATCCTCAGAGGTAGTGAGGTCAGAGGTAGTGACCTCACGACCTCTGAGGATGCTTGCCATAGATGCAGGCGAAACGTCAGGAGAAATGCCTCTAGAACATGGCTCTATAGCCCGAAAAAACCCACAAGAACCTAATAACTAAAATTGTCATATGGGTTTTGGCTACAACAAACTTTTTTTGCCTCATTTTCACAGATGCTTCTATTAATTTCACAGTAAGATTTCTTCTAAAACCTTCTTCTGACATTGTTCTAGCTTGGATTTAATGCTAATTTATGTTTTATTTATTTATTTACTTTGCTTATATACCGCTGTTCTCAGCCCAGGAGCCCCATTTTGTCTGTTCCCTATTCCTCCTTGCCCTCCAATCTAAACTAGAAAAGACAGCTAGGAGACCCAGTCCCATCTAAGAAACTGCTTAATTTTAACTGTGACTTAATGGATTGTGTGTGTGTCAGGAGCAACTTGAGAAACTGTAAGTTCCTTCTGGTGTGAGAGAATTGGCTGTCTGCAAGGATGTTGCCCAGAGGATGCCCAGATGTTTTGATGTTTTACCATCTTTGCTGGAAGCTTCTCTCACGTCCCCACATGGGGAGCTAGAGCTGACAGAAGGAGTTCAACCCGCTCTCCCCAGATTCAAACCTCTGACCTATCGGTCAGCAGTCCTACTGGCACAAGGGTTTAACCCATTGCACAACTGGGGGCTCCATGGAATGAAATAGAATGAGAAACCAAAGATCAAGAAAGAGGTGGTTGTTGCTGTTGTTGATGCAGTTGCATTGTATTGTTGTCCACCTCCCAGAAAGACTAGTCCTGGTAGTGAAAATAACTAGGGGATTCTGAGAATTGTGATCTGAAAAACAACATTTTCCAAGGTCTATCTGAAACTATGATTTGATCTTTGGTTGTTTCAATTAAAAAAATTCCCACATTTTGTTAATTCAGGTATTTGGCTCCGGGCCATGGTTGTTGTTATCTCCTCTTGAGCTGTGTGTTGGAGTGGGAGAGGGCTGGGCAGCATTGTTCAAGCTCAAAGAGGGTGATAAGCAGGGTGTTAGAAATCATGTGCATGGCTTTGAAGCACTAGCATTTAATCTGATTTGCAATCTTAGCAGTATCAATGCCAGTTTCATGTAGATGGTTCCCACACTGTTACATTGGCTAGCATTGTCAGAGAGATCTATATATTAGCCGCTTCCCATATAACCAGAAGTTTCAGGATTGCTGGAGCTGTGGTTGAATCAAATACATGCATGTGGATCTAGCATTTGATACAGATATGAGTTTCCTTGTAGTTTCATAGGTACAGAAATAGTTGAGCAAATAATACTCTAAGCTCTAAGGGGTCAAAGTCCTCTTTCTTGTTTGTGTATTGTAGTCAGCTGTGGTTACCAGAGTAATTTGATTAAGCACTTCCGAGTTTTGTGGCCTGATGCTTATATATGATTTAAACTCTTGGCTGTAATTCCATATTATCCTTTTCAAAATAAATGCTTCCATTCTCGTGGGTGAAAGAAAATTTAAGTATTAGAATATATGACTAGATTGTAGTGTGTAATACTTGAATGTGTGGATATAGCAGTGGCTGGAAAAATTGGACATGAAAGATGTACTTCTTCGGATATAGTTTTGTGAATCACTATGAACTTATTCAGTGGAAAATACATTACATCATATCATTGGAACTGGGTATGCAGTTGTGACCTACAAAGCCATGTAATTTGCTAATTTAAAAGGCAATTATGCAGTGCAAGGCAAATATCAAAGCCACGAGATTTGCTGAACACCATATATGGCTTGTGGATTGAATTTTGCTTGCTAAGTGAAGTAGTTTAGTAATGGCATTTCAATTGCCACTAGAATCCAATATATTCCTGAAGTCTGGAAGAATGGTATGCACACAGCCAATGTTTGGAGTGGTCGTTATTAGTCATGGGCCTGAAATTTGTCCCATTCATATAATTCGTGTTTCCATTTCATTCCGTCCATTCGGATGGCACGAAACGGAAAGGCCCCTCCTGAAACGAAAATGCAATCAATACAAAAGGCAGGCAGGTCTGCTTTTTGGATGGATTGTGTGAGACCTGGCAAGGGCTACAGCCGAGCATTAGTTAAGGAGCGCAGGCCCTGCTAGGCCCGGGCATCTAGGTCCAAAGCCTTCACCCGTAGGCCCACAGCACCGGGCCTATGGGTGCATGCTTTGGGCCCAGGCATCCAGGCCTAGCAGGACCTGCAGCTAAGCACCGAGTAAAAAGCTCTCCTCACTCGGCATGCAACTGCAGGCCCTGTGAGATTTGGGTGCATAAGCCCAAACTCTGCACCCATAGGTCCATGCACTTTGGGCCTATGGGTAAAGTCCCACACCCAGTAATGGGCCAAAAGAAAACAAGATTTTTTGACCCCCAAAATGAAACACAAATATCTGACCTCCCAATTTTGGGAGGCTCAGACGAAAACGGGTGGGGGTCCCCACCAAAAGCCAGGACATGAAACTGATCAAGTCCCAAATGCAGGCGACTAGTAGTTATGACCTATAAACACTTTCAGATCGAATTAGATTGTTTGAAGGACTGGATTCTACCATGTCAGCCTTTTCCAAGATATTTTCTTTATCTGTCCAATATTTTAGGTACATCTTCTATAGCAGGGGTGTTCTAGGTTTTTAAACAGAGGGCCAGGTCACAGTCCCTCAAACAGTTGGAGGGCCAGATTATAATTTGAAAGAAAAAAAATGAATGAATTCCTGTGCGCATATCTTATTTGTAGTGCAAAAGCACTTAAAAACAATATAATAATTAAAATGAAGAACAATTTTAACAAATATAAACTTATTAGTATTTCAATGGGAAGTGTGGGCCTGTTTTTGGCTGATGAGATAGGATTGTTGTTGTTGTTGTTGAGTGTTTACACATCGTTTCAGACTTTGGTTGACCCTAAGCAAGGGCTGGGTAAATGACCTTGGAGGACTGTATCTGGCCCTCGGGCCTTAGTTTGAGGACCCCTGTTCTATAGGGGGTCAGAGAGGGTCTTCTTATTGGCTGCTTCCAGACTCTGTTTCTGCCAAATGAAACTAATTCGGTCTACTACTGTTGTCCTTAAACCAGGATGCTTTGGCATTAGACTAGTCTGCTGTTGAAGAAGGTCTAGCTGGCTGTTGATGTTGTCTTTTATTGGTGTATATTTAATTGTATATTGTTTGCGTTAACGTTTTAAATTATATATATAAATAAAAATGTAATGTTTGTTTTTGGGATTAACATAACTCAAAAACCACTGGAAGAATTGACACCAGATTTGGACATAATACACCTATTAGGCCAGCAAGTGACCGTCACTCATAAAAACACTGAAAAA